CACCAGACACCCCCAGGTGAGCACCAGACACCCCAGGTGAACGCCAGGCCCCCCAGGTGAGCACCAGACACCCCCAGGTGAGCACCAGACACCCCCAGGTGAGCACCAGACACCCCCAGGTGAGCACCAGGCCCCCCAAGTGAGTGCCGAGTGGCAGAGTCACGCCCCATTCAGCTGTGCATCCTGCAGGAAAGCCCGTGGCCCCCATCGCTCCTGAGATTCACCCCCTCGTTGGGGACCCACTGCGACAAATTTGTCTACTCTGTGAATGGCTGTGTAGATGCGTGTTGGCATCTGCTGCCGAAAGGGGTCTGTTGAGCTCTCATTATTCCTGTGGTGGTTTTGCATGGACCAGCTGCAATCATTAGAAGCGGGTTTTGACCTGGTGGGTCTGTGTAATCAGGAGAAGGACCACCAGAACCTCAAAGCATTTCCTTTTGTTCCGTTCCCAAGGAAGAACCTGTACTTGGGTAACGAGTTCAGATGTCGGACCTGACTCAGTTTGTGGTGTTTAACACCGGTTAGTAAAGACGGGGGTGCCTCAGGACAGGGCAGGTTTCAGACCCACTGTTCACAGACTCACTTTGAGTCATAATTAACCAGATGGCTAACAACAACCGTAAAGAAAGTGCCAGCGTTTTAGAATGAAAAGAATGTCAGTTTGCTGGATCGAAATAGCAGCTCATGATGTTTCACGAATTCACGACAGGTGACTCTTTGCTTCAAGTTGACTCATAGCTGACCATCTTCTGGGTTTCCAAGGCTGTAAATCGCACAGGAGGAGACTGCCAGTCTTTCTCCCAGGGAGACGCTGGTGGAGTTAAACTACCAGACGGACTTGGTGGTGGGGTTAGAAACTACCAGACGGACTTGGCGGTGGGGTTAGTAACTCGACTCCCTACAGACTAAGGTGTAAATGAAGTCTTTCTATTACAGGGTAAAGCGAGGAGTCACCACTAGACAGTTTTGTGCATCTCATGATTCAGGTTTCAATTTGTAAACTGCATTCCAGTTCTATTTCATGCAGTGACTGCTGCAGGTTACTGTAGAGTTTATGAAATAACTTTCTTTATGTACTGCAGTTTCCTACCTCTTTGGCTCTCACTGAATTTCAAGATCTGTGTGGCTCAACACATGTTACTTAAGCCTCCGTTTCCTTATCTGTGAAATGGGACAATAATACTTATCTCTCATGGAATCTGAGATGTAAGTGAGGCAGCATTTGTGAAAGTGACCAACACAGAGTCTGCTTGCTCTGCAGGAAGTATCTCCTCTACTTCATGTCCTCCTCTCAACCTCACTTATATAACTGACCCTCTGCTGTGGATTCCAGTGCTTTAAAAATTTCAGCTCTGACAAAAGGCTAATTTTAAAAGAGCAAAGTCACTGAAGCCATGAGAAAGCTGTGTGAGCCAGCGACCGTGTTTCACAGAGGGATAGCTGGTAAACCTCAGGCTCTGGGTACTGTTTTGTTTAAGAATGAGAGGTTGAAAGATTCTGGAAAAGTTCTTGCTAACGACCTACTGTGTGCCTTAGTCAGCTCTTAGTCAGACCCAGGTGCAGCTGTGGTTCCTCGCATAGCAGGAGCCTAAATCAGCTCTCCTAGACTGTCTCCAGATTCTCTGGGAGCCTTTGAACATGGGAACCCCGAGTTCAGTTGTGGGATGTGGACAGGTGAAGTGAAAATGTGCTTTTTCAATGTTGTTGTTGTTCAATGCCGTCAAGTCGTAGGCGACTCATAGTGACCCTATGAACGAAAGTCCTCAACACTTGCATGCGTGACTTTCATCCTTTCTCCAGGTTCATAGGGTTACCAGAGGCAAGCTATTTACAGAAGTGGATGCCGCTCCTGCTTCCAAGCTTGTTTCAACCGGGGAGCTCCACCAAACACTGTCCACCATGGGTAACCATAAACGCATTTGACACATCAGTGTCAGAGTGTTCAGCTTCACAGCAACCACGAGTTACCTCTGTATGGCAAGTAGACACACCAGGACTATATGATCTAGAAGAATGTTTGACCAAAAACAATTAAGAACAGGCCTGAAGGCCGCAGATTAGAGTCACCCACCTTTGTCTTTTTCAATACGATGTTAAAAACATAGTAGTGCTTCAGGGATAGAATTCTCACCTACCATGTGGGAGAGCTGAGCTTGATTTCTGGCCAGTGACCTCATAGGCAGCTTTCAGTGGCTTATATGGTGACTATGATGCTGAACCAGGAAGAAAGACTAGGAAGAAAGGCCTGGTGATCTCCTTTGAAAATCAGCCTGTGCAAACCCTTTGGCCCTCAGTGACCCGATCCACAGCCCGTCGGTCAGGCTGATGGCACAGAACCATCTTGTTCTCTCACTCATGGGGTCACCATGAGGGAGGGCTGACTCAAGGGCACCTAAGAACAGCAGCAGTAGGTGTGAGAGAGGCTGGGGAGTTGGAATGGGCCTCTCAATGGGCTGGGTCTGAGTGGTACCTTGACAAGTCTGTGGGGGGGGTGATCCTGGCACAAGGAACGGCCGGGGCTGCCTATGGCTCTCGGTGCCTCTGCAGAGAGCAGAGCTGGGCCCTCGGGGGTGCGGGCTAGTGCTGCACTAGCTCTCCATGTGCCCCGTCATCAGGGCCCAGTCCCGCAGGATGGGACGCTGTCTCCCCCTGCTCTGATATTCTAGCCAGTATTTTTTCTCAGCTCATACAAAAGAAGGCTTGTAATTGTGGCGCTCAGTTGTGTTCTGTTTGGAGTGTTTGCAAGTAGAATAATTTGTTTACTCAAGAATAAACAAGAAACAATGGAATGGTTTTCTCCGTCTCAGAGGGCCACAATGAGTGGATTCAAGGATAGATTTAGCATTTTCTTCTGGAAAACCAGGAGACGGTTTGCCGCAATATGAATTATTACACCTTTGACATCATTTGGAGAGACAACCCTAGACGTCTACAAACCCTCAAATTTATATTGAAAAGTTTGACTTAAACTTGACTCACTGTCCTCTTTGGTCAGATGGAGAAGGCTTTGTCTACTCCCGGAGATAGTTTGGTGAGATCAGAGTGAATGAGTAAGAGAAAAGATGCGTGTGCTCTGTGCTCACAGACCAGCCAGGCTCGCTCCCTAGACCAGCCCCCACCCCAGAGGGCAGCCGCACACACACATCCAAGCTGGACTTCAGGGGCGTGACCAATTCCCCACTCCAGAACCTGCCACAACAGGAGATTTGAACCCTTCAGAGACTGTGTTGTTATTGTGAGCTGCCATTAAGTGGGCCCCCACTCATGTCACCTCCATGGGCCCACATGCTGTCCTTTTCTGCACTATTCAGTGGTCACTTCTAGATGGACAGCTGTGATATGTGGGAGTTTTCAGACTCTTTTTGGATAGAGGTCACCGGGCTTTCTGTCTTGGTCTGGAACTTCTAGTGAAGCCTGTTCACCATCACAACACACAAATCTCCCTGTCAGACAGGCGGTGGTTGACTTGAAGTGCACTGGCTTGGAATTGAACCTGGGTCTCCCCAATGGGAGGCGAGAACCTCCCACACTGCCACTTGCCCGAATCAGATGACCGGTCGATAGTTGCTTGTTGAGTTGTATCTCTTTCAGTTATTCCCATTCTCGAGGTTTTTGAACTAAACTACAAATTGGAAGCTCTGTCTCTTATTAGAAATCCACAGTGGGTGTCCAGGAAAGGCACACTCACTTACCTAATTGGATTTGACACGTAACTTGTGACTGTGTTTTGACTCTGAGGGAACCACAGATAAATTAGACATTGGAGCTCAGGGCGCAGTATCTCATGAGGCTGTCAATTTCCTTCCCTTTGTCTTTGTTTGTGTCATGCTCATTCCTGTTGTGTCAGAGATTGCAGGCTGCTTCCTTTAAAGGGTTTGGCCAGCCGGGGCCCAGGCTCATTTCCTGCTTGCACAGCGGTCTACCCAGGGCTGGCCAGAGGTGGAAATCTCCATAACGAGTTCCTGGCTGCAGGACTCAGTGGTTCCTGGCCTTTATGCTTTATCTCCAGCCATAGCATTGTGTTTAAGAAGACCACGGTGGAGTTTCTTCCCCAGCCAGCCCTCTTCCTGGAAAGGGGAGCACAGGGAAGGAGTCACATCGCCTCTGACTTGTCTGTGCTGTTCGTAGCACTTGTTAAGCCCATTTTGACATATGGGGTCTCAGGTGACAGAGTGGAAATGCCCCAAAGGGTGCGCTTGGAAGCAGATCGCCAGGCCTTTTCCCCGCCTCACTGGGGGAGTTCAAACACTGGCTCTGTGGTTAGTGGCCAAAGGCTTAATCATTCACCCCACAAGGGCTTCTCTTGATTGGAAGTTGTTGTTGTTGGGGACCAACTCCGAGCAAGCACCAGCTTAGAACAAGACTGTGGATGACAGAACAAGGCCCTGCCTGACCCTGCACCAGCCTTGCTGTTTCCTGGCTTAAAAACATTGTTAAAGTTGTCGTGTTAGTCCATCTCATTGAAGGGCTTCCTCTCTCTCCCTTCCCCTCCATTTTTTCCATCATGTCCTTTGCCAAAGACTGACCCCTTCTTGTTGGGAGGATGGACAATCTCCTCCTGTGCTATTAAGGGCCTCTGAAAACCCACCAGAGGGTCAGCTATGGGTTTGTTCTGACTTGAAGGTACACAACAACAACCCGTCCTTGTAATATGCTCAAGGTATGTGAGACAAAGTCTTACCATCCTTGT